ATTTTATTCTATTCTATTCTATTTTATTCTATTCTATTCTATTTTATTCTATTCTATTCTATTCTATTCTATTTTATTCTATTCTATTCTATTATATTATATTATATTATATTATATTCTATGAAACACTATTTGATTGGATAATTTGATTGATTAGTAGATTTGTAGATTTTTTTTAACTAAAATCTTTAGATTTAGTTAAGGGGAGATATTACATATTATTAGAATGCTAAATTACAAATAGAATATAAACATTCTATCTGTAATTTAATATCTATTATTCAACGATTCATGTTTTGAAGGTTATAAAATAATAAAATAAAATAAATTAAAATGTGACATGCAAAAATAACTCACATTTCAGAAGCTAGGAACATCGTTGGATCCTCTTGAGAGGAGCACTGACTCTAATTTTGCAATGAATATTAAAAACAAATTCACATTATATAAGAAAAAAAAAAAATTTCTAATATATTCATTCAGATTGCATGTTCATTTGGCAAACATTTCTAATTTCACGTATGAGCACTTGCAAATAAACTTATATAAAATTAGAAAAAAACCTTGTTCTAAAAATTGTTATAAATACTAATAATAAAAAATAAGTATTTCTATTAACTGCATTGCGCGCAGTCGCACACGCGATAGATGAAAAGAAAAAAACAAAACTATTTTATCTTTATATTTCTTGAATTTTTCTTCTTTGCCCAAAAATGAGCTGCTATTTTCCTGAAATTATCAATTAATTATTAATAATTTTTCGTTGATGAAAAAATATGATAATTAATATTAAGTTTAATTGAGATCATTAACCTCAATATTAAAAAAATGAAATGAAATTATATACAATTATATACAATCAATTATATATATATATACAATCAATCCTCTTATAACAGTTAGTTAATTCGTTATTGAAATCGTTTCGTTAACTAAAATCTAGAACGAATACACGCAAAAAAAGAAATAATAAATAAATAGATGAACACCTGCTTAAATTTGCGTCGAAATGTTCCCATGAGTCATGCTACGAACTTGTTTACAAAGGTTAAGTGACGACGCAATATTCCGACAAAATATTCACGATTGAGAGATAAATTCAGCATCTGAAAATATATATTTAATAAATCCACATTGTACGATGAAATAATTCGATTAATTTACTTAATTTAAGAAATAAATAAAATCAAAATGTGTCTTAAAAAATTATTGAAACATGAAATTAATACTTTTTATAATTAACTATATCTAAGAGTATGAAAAATTCCAACTAACATTTAATTTTATTATAATAATGTTTAATAATTACTAAGAACATGCATAATAATTAAATAAGATTAATTAATTATATAAAAGTTATGATAAAATAGTAAAAATAATTATAATAAAATAGTAAAAATATATTGCGTAGTTGAGTTCACTAACCTCGAGCAGGATGATGGGCGTCCTGTCACCACGATTTTCGTCAGCAGAATGATACGTCATGCGCCACGGTTTACCGCGCAGCTTTCCAATTAGCTGGGATGGCGCTATGCGCAATTCTTTTTCCATTTACGCGGGAAATGTTATTGAGTAATGGCGTCTTAATAGTTTCTGTGTTCGCAACGTGGTAAAATTTTATAATTATTGTAAAGAAGATTCAAGAAAATAAGATTCATACACAGTGAGTATTGTATTTATTTTTTAAATGTGAATATGTAATTTCTATACAATATTTACCTAGAAAAAGAACTTTTTTAGTTACTTAAATTTGTCAATTTGTCGACTTTAATAGATAGGTTATAATGATATGATTCCTAATTTCATTGCTTTGAAACTTTAGAAAGCACAATAGAAACTTTAATTTTTAGTACGATTAGTAGAATACGGAATACGAAATGTTATAAAATCATTCGTGATGATAAAAATTAATAATTAATTCTTTATGATTAGTAATAAATCTGAAACTTTATTCTTAATTATTTATACGTGATAATACAAGTTGTTCGTAATTTATTTATATTTTAACTTATATAATTTCTGATGCATTTTTTTTGATATTTTTTTTTTATTAATTTCAACTTTAATATAAAAATGTTACATATGAAAGAAACAGAATCAAATAATTTATTTCTGATTACCTTCTACAGATTCAAATCTTTCATTGAAACAATTCATCACGTAGACAACGTTCACATTCGAGCTATCTATAAGAAATTAATACAAAATCAGGACACAACATGTGGTGTGGGTGCTTTTACCAATTAAACGCAAGATTGGAAAACTACGTCGCACGAATTTCATCCTTACTAGATGGTTTTAACCATTTTACACGAGATTGACTCATAGAAACATAGAATCATTCGACTGAAACAGGTATGTCTTTTTTTCACTCTTTCTCCACGTAGATTTTAATTATTGCGTAATTAGTAATGGATAAGCATAAAAACGTATAATTTGATATATCCGATTTCTTAGAAATCATTAAGCATTATTTATGGTTTTAAAATTGCGTCTAATTGGTTATTAATCTTTTATATTGTTATGAATTGCTTTACTTATCGATTGATTTACATTGTCGAACGCTAAAATTAGAACAAACGTTAGTGGAACACGAGCTCCTTTTGACAAAAATACATTGTTTTTTAAAACGTAGAAATATCTGTTATTTCTATTTTTGTTCAATTGGAATCCAATAGATGAGATAGGTAATCTTTTCGTTTGGAAAATTGCAGGTTAAGTGTGCAAGTACAATTTGAATGTATCAAAAATTGTACACAGATATCTTCAGATTAGAATTTAACAAAAATGAAGATTATTTGCATTAAAAATAATCTGTGATATTAATCATTTAAAAAAAGAAAATAAATACATATATTAATGCAGCTCTCAATATAATATATATAATAAATATTTATCTTGGAAGTTTTTTTGTAAAGATGGTGGAAAGTGATACAATCTTTTCTGTATAAGTATTTATACAATTATTTGAATTAAATATCTATAAATTATTTGAAAATTCATCTATTTAAATAAAAGTAAATTGAATTTATATGAAAATTTAAATTTTGAAAATAGTTTAATTCACGTTTTTGCTAATATATTAATATATTAGCAAAATAGCAAGAAGATTCTTACTTTTCCTGGATTTAATTGCACCTCGATTTTCTTCATTTTTGTTAATTTCCAAGCTAAGATAATAAGCGTGACGTAACACAAATACAGTTTCTTTATAAGCATAAACGCCTAAGAACGCAGAAGAAAAAGGCTAGAATTGTCTCATCTTGGGCAAGTGTGTTCTATTTTAAACACGCTACGAACGAATCAATAAAAGAACTATTTAAATCGATAAAAAAAAAGGGAATTTTAGCATCGTAAACTTTGCGTTTAAGAAATTTATTATAGATTTTTACCGTATAATCAATTTAGTTCAGGATGTTGTACTTTTGATCTCATATGAGATATTTTTCACCCTATTTTTTATCACCTCGTGCACAATCTATAACACAACAATCAGCGGTATTCTCATTTCTTATACAAACTTTCAACTTTTTCACTTCCTTCGCTTCGATATATTCAATAGACAAACCAACTATAAACTTTAAATCACTTAATATCCATTAAATTACAATCTCATAATCTGGATCACGCTACGTATTCTCCTTTCATATCTCAAGATACAACCTCCAAGCCTTTCCCATCTCTAACTAAAAACATCCGCCAAAATTCCCCCTCGCCCATCCTTCAATTTTATTATCCTTAACAGGAAGAATGACTCACGCATTCCAGGACCAAGTCACCGCACCAAGGCAGATTCATACAAGACACACCTCGGGTACCTCATGTACTTAACCCATCCTTCCCCCTTGTCCCATTGTTTCACGGCATCGTGCGGACGAGCATTCACGGGCCTATTTAAAGCTCGCGCGACAGAGTGACTCGTGAGAAATCGCGGCGGGAAGTCCGATCGAGCAAAACATCGCATTTAATTTTCTAGGAAAGATTGCCGCGGTGGTGCGTGTACACCAGAGGGCCGCGGCCTAATATTTTATTGCCGTCCCGCAAACGTGTTCTTTCACGCGCGACCAGCACGCCGGTTTCGAGAACCGGAACGACGTTATCGCGTAGAATCGGCCGACGACACGCTCCACTCTTCTTGCCGCTCTTCTTACTTTCGTCGTCGTCGTCGTCGTCGTCGTCGGCCTCGAGGGAAGATTCTTTCTTTCGCCATGGGACAAGACAGAAAGTCAAGGGGGGCAAGGACACTCTGATCCTTTCTTCCCTCCACTTTCTGCTTGGACAATCTCTGCAGCGTCTCTGTAGAATCGCGGTTGTCGTCAATGGAGGTAATCAAGACGAAAACTTATTCGTGGACGTGCGAGAGACGTGCGTAATCCGGTATGAAAATTGTTTGATACACTCGCGAGTCCGGTGGAAAATTGTTACCTTGTCTCTCACGTAGTCGTCGTGTTAAAATCTTGCTCCTCTTTTTTTGCATCTCGAAGTTCTTCGAAGTTAATTTATTCGAGTTGGATCGACACG